AAGGTCTCCCCTCCAAACAAACACCAAAAGTAAAATCCAACAAATATGAAACCCAGATTGTCCTAGGGCAAATTACCAAATCAGTCTTGAGATCAGGAATTGGGGAGTCAGGAATAAACTTTAGGGTTACAGTCAAGTGAGGAAACAGGTTTCAACATGATACCTAGTTGTATACTACTCTTCTTATCCCCCAGATAAGCTCAGCAGAGCTTTGTCTCTGAAGGAAGATATCCTCAGCTGAGGCCTGCAAATCTCACAGATTCACAAAAAATTAAATGTGAACCTCTCAAAGATCATCACACATACAAATAAACTTGAGAAATAATAAGCAGAAATAACCAATAATAGGCCCTCAGACATTATCAGATGTCAAGGACCTCATCTATTCTCCAATATTAAAATAATCAAACGGCCGCCAATGGAGGCTCACGCCTATAATCCCAGCACTTTGGGAGGCCGAGGTGAGAGGATTGCCTGAGCCCATGGGTTCGAAACCAGCCTGGACAACTTGGCAAGACCTCATCTCTACAATAGATCAAAAAATTAGCCAGGCATGGTAGCGCATGCCTGTAGTTCCAGCTACTTGGAAGACTGAGGTGAACCCAGTAGGTCGAGGATGCGGTGGCTATAAGTGTGCCACTGCACTCCAGCCTGGGCAAGAGAGTGAGACTCCAACTCAAAAAACAAAAATAAAAAATAATCACAATTAAAATATTTGACATTTGAAAAAAATAATCACACAATGAACAGCAAAAAGAAATTATCACAAATAACCAGACAAATATGAAAATAACTAACTAAAACTTTTACATATGAAACATTGTTGAAATAAAAACCTCAGAGGTAGTTTGAAATAGTACATTGGAAGCCTCTTTTCTTTTTTTGAGTCGGAGTCTCTATTGCTCTGGCTGGAGTGCAGTGGCATGGTCATGGCCACTGCAGCCTTGATGTGCTGGGCTCAGGCAACCCTTCTGCCTCAGCCTTCCAAGTAGATGGAACTACAGGCATATGCCTCCATGCCTGACTGATTTTTTGTGTGTTTTTTTTTGTAGAGACGAGGTCTTACCATATTGCTCAAGCCGGTCTCAAACCCCTGAACTCAGGCAATGCTCTCACCTCTACCTCCTAAAGTACTGGGATTACAGGCATGAGTCACTGCAGCCAGCTGGAAGCCACATATTTAAGAAAAACTACAGAAAACAATACAGACGACAAGTGAATGGAAGATACAAAAGAAAAGTTAAAAGCCATGGAGATGAAAATAAGAAAGACTGAATTCATAGAAGGAAAGGATAAAGAAAATAGAGGAGAACCAAAGTTCTTAGAGATAAGAGTTGAGAATTTTTTAGAAGAAACAAAGCCACAGATACAGGAAGCATAACATATACCAAACAGGATAAATAAATTTACATACAGTCACATCATAGTCAAACTGCAAAAGGCCAGAAGAAAAAGACAGTTTTAAAGAAACCACAGTCAGGGCAGGCTTGGTGGCTCAGCCTGTAATCCCAGCACTTTGGGAGGCGGAGGCAAGTGGATTGCCTGAACCCATGAGTTCAAGACCCGCCCAGGCAACTTGGTGAGACCTCATCTCTACAATAAATCAACAACTAGCCAGGCGTGGTAGCTCGTGCCTATAGTTCAAGCTACTTGGAAGGCTGAGGTGGAAGGATCGCTGGAGCCCAGCAGATCGAGGCTGCTATGGCCGTGAGTGTGCCACTGCACTCCAGTCTGGACGACAGAGTGAGATTCCAACTCAAAAGAAAAAAAAAAAAAAGGAAACCACAATCAATAAGAATGACAGATTTTGCACTGCAACATTGAAAGCCGCAAGAGGAGAGCATACTATCTTCAGTATAAAAGAAAAGCCATCAACCTAGAATTTTATGTCCAGAAATATTATCTTTCAAGAATGATGGTGAAATAAGGACATTTCATATCACCAAAATAGAGTTTGCCTCCAGCAGACATGCACTTAAGGAAATTCTACTTTAGGAAGAAGGAGAATAGTACCAGAAGGGAAGTCTGGGATGCAAGAAGGAATGGTGAGCAAAGAACTTGGAAAGCACCTGAGTAAATCTAAACATGTACAAAATAATGGTGATGATAATGGTATCTAGTTTATGAAGTGAGAGAAAGATAAAATATTGGACAACGAAAAAAGTGGTTAAAATACTGATTAATTTTATTCAGGCGTGATGGGTCACACCTGTAATCCCAGCACTTTGGGAGACTGAGGTGAGAGGATCACCTAAGGGTGGTGCGTGCCTGTGGTTCCAGCTACTTGGAAGACAGGTGGAAGGATTGCCTGAGCCCAGCAGGTGGAGGCTGCGGTGTCCATGAGTGTGCCACTGGACTCCAACCTGGGTGACAGAGTGAGACTCCAACTCAAAAAATAAATAAATAAATAATACCGATTGATTTCTAATGATTTAAATTTTTTGTTAATTTTAAATTAATGACTATGAATATTAATTTCCAACAATAACTTCTAAAAGAAAAGCATGTATTACTTCCAAGTCAATAAAGAAGACAATTGACTATAAATCTTTTTTTTTTTTTTTTTTTTTTTGGAAAGACAGGGTCTCACTGTGTTACCCAAGCTGGTCTCGAACTCCTGAGCTTAAGCGATCCTCCTGCCTCAGCCTCCCAAGGTACTGGAATTACATGTTTGAGCCACCATACCTTGCCTAAAAATTTTTTTAACAAAGAATTCTTGCTGGGTGCAGTGGCTCATTCCTGTACTCCCAGCTACTCAGAACACTGAGGTAGGATTACTTGAGGCCAGGAATTTGAGACCTGCCTGGGCAACATACCAAGACCCTATCTCTACAAAAAATAAATACATAGAAAATAAAGTTAGCCAGGCATGGTGCCTGTAGTCCCAGCTACTCAGGATGCTGAGGTAGGAGGATCACTTGATCCCAGGGGTTCCAGGCTGTACCACATGTGGCCTTACAATATATACAACTATGATATATCAATAAAGCTGTTTAAAAAACGTTCAGTGTTTTTTTGTTTTGTTTTTTTGTTTTTTTTTTAGTTGGAGTCTTACTCTGTCATCCAGGCTGGAGTGCAGTGGCACAATCATGGCCACCACAGCCTCAACTTGCTGGGCTTAGGCGATCCTTCCACCTCAGCCCTATAAATAGCTGGGACTACACACATGTGCCACCAACCCTGGCTAATTTTTTTATTTATTGTAGAGACAAGATCTCACCAAGTTGCCCGGGGCTGGTCTTGAAATGCTAGGTTCAAGTAATCCTCTCACCTCCACCTTCCAAAGTGCTGGGATTACAGGTATGAACCACCACATCCGGCTAAAATTCTTGTATTTAGCTTTGTGACCTCTGTTATATTTCATAACCTCTGTAAACCTTAGTCTCCTATTTTAATGTGTATATAGTAGTAGTTGTATATATTAGACATTACTACTATTAACAATAATTAATTTAGTTCAACTCCTTGCTGATGTGTAAAATCATACTAGACCTCCCAGCCAGCATCTTACCCAGCTTCTCTCCCGCAAGAAAGATTGCAGTAGCCAAAGATAGCTAGAGTATTGAATACTTATGATAACTCTGATGGGTTTTCCTTGAGTTACTCCTAACTCAGAACCTTCAGGATTCACTGTTGCCTTTCACTAAAAAGTTCAAAGCAACAAGGCTTTCCACAACCTGACCCCACCAACCTGATCTCAAGATTTCTCTTTAAAACCTTGAATTAGGCCAGGTGCGGTGGCTCATGCCTATAATCCCAGCATTCTGGGAAGCCAGGGCAGGAGGATCACTTGCGCCCAGGAGTTTGAGAACAGTCGGAACAACATAGCAAGACACTCTCTAAAAAAACAAATTTAAAAATTAGGTGTGGTGACATGAGTCAGCTCACAGGTGACATTAGTCAGCTGTAGTACCAGCTACTGGAGAGACTGAGATGGAAGAATTCTTGAGCCCAGGAGGTCAAGGCTGTGGTAAACCATGATCGTGCCACTGCCCTCCAACCTGGGCAACAGAGTGAGAATCTGACTCAAAAAAACCAAACAACCTTGAGTTAAATATCTATAGATGTATTTGAACTCTCCCTCCCTGACACTTTTGCTTAGAATGCCCTTTTGAAGAATAGATAAAATTTGGGTGATTTCCTTCATGTGGAAAAGCCCTCCCTCTCTGCCAAATTCAACATATTCTTCAAACCCCAGCTCAAGTCCTATAAGGTTCCTGACTACTCTATCCCTAGCCCTAAAGTGATTTACTGTCTGAAAAATGATCACCCAAACTAGACTTACAACAGTCATTTATGTCTATCTCTTCTGCTTTTGCAATTGAACTTTTAATCAAATGTTATATTGTCACAGAACTTTCCTCAAGTTTACATGGTCTCTCCAGCTAGATTTTCAGCTCCTTGAGACATCTTTGTAAAGTGCCGAGGGAAGACACACTATACTAAATGCTTTCTCATATATTTCATTTCATTTAATCATCACATCAAACTTCAGAAAATAGATATTAGTATCTACATTTTATAGATGAAGACATTGCACTTCAGAAGGTTAAGTAATATACCCAAGGCATTTACCTACAGTAGGTTTCTACTGTACCTCCCATCAAAGAGCATCCAACTAATATATAACTAAGAGCAGTGATTTATACTCAGCTGGTTTACACTTTTTTCTACCTAGTCTTACCCCACTCTTAAATCTAGTGTCATGGAAACAGATTTCAAAAAAGACAAAATTCTAAAAAATTAAAATTTGACATGCCAAGTGTTAACTAACAGCAAACTGGGAATTCACTAAAGAACTTGAAGTAAGATAGAAAATCATATTCTGGGGTGTTTAGATTAAGAGGACTGAGGAAACATTCTATTGTTTTATTCTATACTTTGAGTTCAAAGAGTATGACATGAAATGAATCATGACGAAGTGGCCTGTTCTTAGGGTGCCTGCTGGAAGTCAGTATCCATTTCAGAACATTGTTTCTCTTCTTTTTTCCCTTTCCTAGGGCTACACATCTTTCTGGAATGACTGCATATCTTCTGGCCTGCGAGGTGGTATCCTGATAGAGCTGGCCATGCGGGGTCGAATCTATTTGGAACCCCCCACCATGCGTAAGAAGCGGCTGTTAGACAGAAAGGTACAGTATTTTCTCTGAATATTCTCTTAACTTATAGAAAAGCAAATGCCAACAGTATGTTTTGGAAAAATAGGAAGATTTGAGTAAAAAGATAAGGTAAATATCACTGACTCAGCAGTCCCATTGTCCAAACAGATGGGTGTTTTGTTTGTTTGTTGTTTGTTTAAGTCTCAGTCTCACTCTGTCATCCAGACTAGAGTGCAGTGCATGGCTACCATAGCCTCTACCTGCTGGATTCAGGTGATCCTTCCACTTCAGCCTTCCAAGTGGCTGGAACTACAGGCACGTGCCACCATGCCCAGCAAATTTTTTTTTTTTTTGAGTTGGAGTCTCACTCTGTCGCCCAGACTGGAGTGCAGTGGCCGCTCCCGGCCACTGCAGCCTGGACCTGCCGGGCTCCGGCAATCCTTCCGCCTCAGCCTTCCAAGTAGCTGGAACTACAGGCGCGCGCTACCACGCCCAGCTAATTTTTTGTTTTATTATAGAGATGAGGTCTCAACCAAGTTGCCCAGGCGGGTCTCAAACCCATGGTTCAGGCAGTCCACTCACCTCAGCCTCCCAAAGGTGCGGGATTCCAGGCTGAGCCACCGAGCCCGGCTATGTGTCTATTTTCTTACTAGTTTTTGTCATTCTAAGTATGCTATTGAAACTACATTCTTAGGAATTACCAGCTTCCTTTCAGTCTTCAGTTTATTTTTCTCTTTTAACCTATCTGTGGCATTTGATACTTTTGATCACTTTGAAACTTTCTGCATTCCTGGCCTTTGTTATTATCTTATTCTCTGTTTCTTTGATTGTCCCCTATTTCCTTTACTTTCCATTCCTTACCAAGAATATCTCAATTTGTGTTCTTTTGAGTGATTTGCTATCCTTTTGGAGATATTTACCTTTACAGCTTCATTTACCTGTCACCTCCTTGAGATTACCTCCCAAATTTCTAAGCATGCCTTTTTTTTTTCCACCTTCGGAACATATTTAATTACTGACCAGACATTTCAACTTGACTATCCCATATCATTTAAAACCATACTTATCAACCTTTCCTCAAAACTGGCTTCCCTTTCTGACTTTCCTGCCTATATTAATGGTTTCAAAAGTTGGTTGTCCAGACTCGAGTTATTATTGAATCTTTTCTCCATTATCATTCGTATCAGTTTGCCAGCAAGGCCCACTTTAAATGTTATTTTTGTCCTCATACTATCCCCCAGTACAATATTTTAAACTTCTTGAGGACAGAAACAGTATATTATGCTTCCTTACATTTTCTGCAACAATTAACCAGTAATAGATATGTGATATATTGAAAGATTTTAACTTGAATGAAGTGAAAGAATCAGGGTCCCTTCTTTCTTTTTCCTCAAAGGTACTGCTAAAGTCAGACAGCCCAACAGGTGATGTTTTACTGGATGAAACACTCAAACACATCAAAGCAACTGAACCCACAGAAACTGTCCAAACATGGATAGAGCTACTCACCGGTAAGATGACTCAAAATGGTCCACAAATTCCACACTTTGTTATCTTTATCCTGTCCTTAAATTTAGGAAAAGCAAAGCCAGGCTCAGTGGTTCAGCCTGTAATCCTGCACCTTTGGGAGGCTGAGGTGAGTGGATTGCCTGAGACTGCGGGTTTGAGACCCGTCTGGGCACCTTGGTGAGACCTCATCCTACAATAAATCAAAAACTAGCCGGGCGTGGTAGCGCACACCTGTAGTTCCAGCTACTTGGAAGGCTGATCGCCGGAGCCCAGCAGGTTGAGGCTGCGGTGGCCGGGAGCGGCCACTGCACTCCAGTCTGGGCGACAGAGTGAGACTCCAACTCAAAAAAAAAAATTTAGGAAAAGCAGTATAGAAATTCGTTGTGCTGGGTAAGATATATGTGGTCCACTATAACTGTGCTAATGAGGAACAGGAAAAGCATGGTTAATCCAAAGCTTCACCATATCTTCTGCCACCCCATCATGAAAGCTCTTTAAAAAGTACACAAGAGGTTGGGCTCAGTGGCTTAGCCTGTAATCCCAGTACTTTGGGAGGCCAAGGCAAGTGAATTGCCGGAGCTTCCGGGTTCAAGACCAGCCCAGGCAACTTGGCAAGACCTCGTCTCTGCAATAAATCAGAAATTAGCCAGGTGCAGTAGCATGTGCCTGTAGTTCTAGCTACTTGGAAGGCTGAGGTAGAAGAATCACCAGAGCCTGGTAGGTCAACACTGGGGTGGCCATGAGCATGGCACTGCACTCCAGCCTGGGCGACGGAGTGAGACTCCAACTCAAAAAAAAAAAAGTGCACAAGAAACTTTGAAACATCTTTATTGAGCTGACAAGAAGGATACTGACATCAATCCACCATCAATCTTGTTAGAATTTTCCTGTTTTGACTTGACTCTTTATTGCCAAAGAATATTGTGTTGTATGGATATATCACATATATTTACTCTTTATCAGTTAATGGACATTTGAGTTATTTCCACATTTTGGCTGTTATGAATAATGCTGCTATTAACATTCATGGACAGGTTTTTGTGTGGACATGTTTTCATTTCTTTTGAATATATAGCTAGTAGTAGCTAGCTGTGTCATATGGTAAACCAATGATTAACATTTTTTATTGAAGTAAAATATACATAGCATTTATTATTTTAGTCATTTGTAAGTGTACATATAATTCTGTGGCATTAAATATATTTGCAATGTTTTGTAAACAACTATACCCAAAGCCTTTTTTTTTGAGTTGGAGTCTCACTCTGTCACCCAGACTGCAATGACGTGGTCGCTCGCGGCCACCACAGCCTCGACCTGCTGGGCTCCGGTGATACTTCCGCCTCAGCCTTCCAAGTAGCTGGAACTACAGGCACACACTACCATGCCTGGCT